TGAGAATATTTAAATCCTCAGCAATTATGTTGAAAAGAAAGGGAGATAGTGGATCACCCTACCTCAATCCCCTCTTCGAATTAAATTCCGACGGTGGGCTACCATTTACTAAGACTAAAATCCTTGCAATAAACACACAAGTTTGATCCATTTATTTCCAAACCCAAATTTGCTTATTAGATCAAATAAGAACTCCCAATTGACACTGTTGTATGCTTTCTCAAAATCCAATTTAATAAGCACCCCCTTTTTACTTCTTAACTTTCTACCAATCCACTATTTCATTAACAATCAAGACACCATCAAGAATGTTATGCCTACCCAAAAATGCCGATTGTACAAGAGGATAAGACCTTAGCAAGAATCTTGTAAATAGACCCAATCAAATTAATTTTTTTTTTTATCAACACCCAATCAGACTAATTGGTTGGAGGAAGTCTATGAATAATTTTTTAAATAAAAAAAGTGAACGTCACCCCAAAAAAAAAAAAAAAAATCTTAATAAAATTTTGTCTTTAAAACAGATATGGTTGTCAATTACCAAGCCAATTTTTTTAAAAATTTTATAGTTTATGCTTTTCGAGCGAAAGAATGTAACATGAGTCATTTTGAATTATAATGGCAAAATTGGGACCATTTTGAGCATCATAGTTGAGTATTGCCCTATTATTGGGATGCAACTCAATCAAATTCATATGCTCTGTACTAAAATGGCATACACAATGCGCGTGATGTAACATGGCATACACAATGCTCTAACATACAACCTAGCACATGCAATGCTAAGGACTGAAATGGCATACACAATGCACGATGGACTTACACCAACACGAGTGAACCTCAACCACACTCACATCAGTGGCCATTAGATGAAAATGAGACAACTGAAATGTGTGCAAGGGATGAAAGATGGCATACAAACATGTAATTTCCAGCACTGAAACATGATGCTAAATGATCCCGAAACATGGAAATATGGCACCCTATGCATGAAATAAGCCCCGAAACTCAAAGCTAGGCACATGTATTGAATTATAACTATGCAAAGCAAGAATTATTTGGCCATGAAGTACAAAGACAGAGCCAAGGCAGTCCCAAAATATGCACATTTCTAGTTTAAAGCATGGCCAAAAAGTGCTAACATGATGGACTAAAATAACATGAAAATTTGGCTAGCAAGCATGGTTTACATGGCATGTATATGAAGCGTATGAGAACTCATCAAACCAGCCAAAAATAGTGAATAAAACATGACAAAAGATGCCCAAATAACCATTGAAATGCAGCCAACATGTGCGAAAATGATGAGCTCCTTTGAAAGGGCATGTAAGGGGTTACTCAACACATATATGATAGACACTTAGCATAGCAAAACCAACTTTGGAAATCAAATATAACAGCCCTAAAACTCACCAAAAAGGGCCTGGAATTGATCAATAAAGCATACAATGGAAGGTCCTCTTGAAAGGCCTTGAGGAGGGTTGTTCCACACATGCATGAGGGACATAAAATATGGCCAAAAGGGCCTTGGACAGAGCTAAGGCAGACCTCAAAACCCTCAGAATAAGGCCTGGAACATGACTTCAAAGCATGCAAAAAGGAGTCCCTTTGGAAGGCCAACAAGACCACCAAACAAGACAAGGAGAGAGCGGGTCACTCCCCTCTGATTTTGGCTCTCAAAAATGCATCTAAGCCACTGAAAATCCACTGGATTTTAGTGGCTAAGAGGCCAAACCATATCCACTAGATTTCAGTGTCTAAGAGGCCAAACCATGGCCAATGCAAGTGCTCTAATGCATAGCCCTAATCATGAAGAGATGAAGCATGCATATGGGGAAGATGACCCCAAACAGAAAATAGACCTTAACCAACCTTGAAGAGGAGATTAAAAAAAGATCTTTTTCAGTTTATAACAAATCTCGAAAATGTTCACAAGTAAGGCTAAAATATGATGCAAAAAAAATCCCTAAAAGAGAGATAGAGGGTAAGGGGAAGTAGATGACCTCAAACAGCAAAGTGCCCTTAAACAAAGTTGAAGAGGAGCTCAAAATAAGACACTTTACAGTTTAGGTCAAGTCCCAAAAAGGCTTTCAAGTAAGGCTAATCAATGAAGCAAAATAAGGCTAGAAAAGGGAAAATGAAGACTTACCCTTGTAGAGCCGACCTCCAGCAGCTTCTGGACCAAGTTGGTGAGCTTTCAACCTCTATAAATGACCTCCAATGTGCTGGAATGAATGAGGGAGGTGGTAGGCTAAGAGGTGTAGGGTAAAATGGCCAAGAATATGAGTGTTTTGAGGCTTGAAGTATAGAGATAGAGGGTTGTATGTATATTTCCAGCCAAAAACATCTAACCCTTGAAAATGGAGATGAAGGGTTGATTATATAGAGGGAGGAGGCCATGGCTTCTTGGAGAAGCCAAGAGAGAGGCTCAAAGCTTCTAAAGGAAGCTTAACCAAAGGGGTCAAGTTTCTTGAAGAAGCTAGACCAAAAGGGTCAAGCTTCCTTGACCAAAGGGGCCAATTCCTCTTTGAAGCCAAGCAAAGGGGTGAAAACCAACTTAAAAGGGGCCAAAACAAGGACAAAACCCTCGGACAGTGGGTCAAATGCTTCACAGCTGGCACAGCTGTGTTGCACTTGAGAAGAGCAAAAAACAGAAAGCTAGCCGACTAGCTAAGGTTGCCGGCCGGCCACTCCCCCTGGTCGGCCGACCAGGGGTCAAAAGGGTCAAGCAAAAAAGCTGGTCGGCCTCCCCAGAAAGGTGGCCTCCCAAATGAGTAGAATACAGCTGTGTGGTGAAAAACCAAAAAATGTGACCCAAGAGAGAGAAAAATCATCTTTTTAGAGGGGTTTAAAAGGGTCAAGAAGAATTACTGGTCGACCTACCCATATTGGTGGCCTCCCAGATGAGCACAACACAATGATGGTGTGAAAAACCAGAAATTGTGGCTCAAAAGTGAGAAAAACCAACTTTCTGTCAGAAAAACTGGCTTTTGGAGAGAGAAAATGAGAAAGCTAGTTTTTCAGGGGAAAAGGTGCCCTCCCACCATCCTACCATCTTCCTAACAATGAAAATAGGGTATCTACCAAAAATGGACCAAAACGGATGCAAAACGAAGGTTCAGGGGCCAAAACGCGTGGTTCGGGGCCCCGAAAACAAGCTATTAGGCACCGGAAGTGGCGTATGACCACGAAGGTGGTCTCCCAGGCCACAGTGTCCCTCAAAAGGAAGGAAGCAAGGTGTGTGCCAAAAACTGGAGCAAACGGAGGTAGTAAAGCGGTCCCAAACCGAGGCACACGGCCGACGGCTCCGAAAACCGGAAACTAGGCTCCAAACGGGAAAAATGGCCTACGACCACGACACGTAGCCTACGGCCACTGAGAGATGGTCTACGAGACCTCTCCCTCCCTTCGGGAAGAGAAAACAGAGAAAATAGGACCTGGTTCACAAACCGAGGCAAAGCACAAAAGTGCTCCGAAGTCCGGAGGCAAGGCTCGCAGCCGAGACTCTGCAACCTCAGAACGAGCACAATATGCAACATTACCGAGCGCTCAGTTGGTGACGTCTGAGTCTTAAGGTCAGTCAAAAATGGGGTGTCTACAATTGCCCCTCTTTGACAGAACTCGAAAGTCGTAATTGACGGGAGTGAATGTCAAAGCCTAGAGATGACCCATTTTTGACAAGGCCGAAGACTTAGACAACGGGCGAGATAAACAGAGACGTGCCCTCAGGCGTGCCCGCAGGCAGGGGGCAAAATGCAACTGACAAAGCAAGAAGTCGAAGGTACCTCGTGATCATGCAAAGCAACAAGCTGTAATGAAGCGCACACGCAACAGTTTAAGCAAGAATGCAAAGTAACAACTACATTTCATGCAGTTTAAGAATACGGAGAATTATTCAATTCTCGCCACGTCTCACACGGAGAAGATACAATACCTGTGCGGCTCATCTGGTCGAACCAGCCTCAAATGAACCGTACATACAATATCGTGCTTGCAAGAGAGGAAAACTTAACAAGCACAACATAGTTAGCAACATATGTTCAATGCTATATTGAATGCAGACAAATGTGGTGCCGATGGGTGAGTGCATCACCATGCGAGAAGGAACGCGCGTGACAACGCAAGTCAAGCATGAGGGTATGACAATACCCGTGAAACGTGCACAATAGTGCGAGTGGTGTGCATGAGAATGCAAATGACGTGCATAACAATGCAAGATAAGTGCAAATTTGAATGTGTGTTTGACGTGAAACAACGAGCAAAGAAATGCAAGTTTCGACGAGTGCGACTCAATCGCGACCTCCGGTTTACCTCTCGAAAGGGTCACAACATGCTCAAAAAGGATACATTTTTCTCTTGACGAGTGACGATGAAACACGCTTCGAAAGTTGGAGTTGAAGTTCCCGCGGAGGGATTTCGCGACGAAAAGTGCACTTTTCTTGTACTTTCTCGGGTGCTGGGGACTCTGATGACTTCCAAAATTTGCAGAGACCTTGGAGACCATCTTGGGAACACCACCGACCAGGTTTGGAGGCTATTGGAGGCCACCGACCAGGTTTGAGTGCAGGGGGTGGTCGGCCTACCAGAAAAGGTGGCCGGCTGACCACCTAACCCAAATCTGGGACAATTTGGTACTTTCACACTTGGATCTTTAAGTATACTCGGCCAAAGCTCTTTTTGCTCACATCTTCAGATCCGAAATCACGTTCTTCTCCTTCCTAAACTATTTTCTCCCTCAGATCTGTGTTCTATACGCGTTTTCCAACGCCCCACGCCAAGTTGTTTCGCGAAAACTTTCAGTTCTCTTCACTTTGAACCGATTAAAATTTGATTTCGGAGCTTCTTTTCTCATTTTCACCACTTGAGGTATGTTTGTCTCAACATTTGAAAGATTTTCTCGGGAGTTGAATTTTGTTGACTTTTTCATTTCCCGAGGGTTGACTTTTGTTGACTTTTTTCCAATTATGGCTTATTTCGCTCATTTTTGCAGACATCTTAAGATGGCGAGTCAATTTCCCCATGGTGGAGGTTCTCCAGGCGCCGGAGGTGATCCATATATCATGTCTCTGCCACCGAGGATTCGCCCCTTTATTCCCGAGAGGTACGACCCCTCGATGCACATCCTCCCGCGGGCAGTTTTCTATCATTTTACGGACATCGATGATCGAGCCCCCGTGGATTTGCTATTGCGGGAGCCGGAGTCCCATCTCTCCTATCAGGAACGGGAGGTATGTACTTCACCCTTTTTACATTTCCTGCATTAATTCTGCATTTTCCGTGCATTTTATGCTACGCAGGCTTATTTGCTCGCTCTGAACACATTCGCATGCCATACTTCTGCTCATTATAGTACACAGCTTGTTCTGAATGCTTAGTCTAGAACATAGTATTCTGTTTGCATCTTGAACACACAGCTCAATCACTTGAATTTCTGAACACGCAACTCATATTTGTTTGTGAACACGCAGCTCATATTTGATGAAAGTTGAACACGCAGCCCAAACTTTGTTTGTGAACACGCAGCACACATTATTTCTGAAATCTGAACACACAACCCAAATTTTGAATTTTTGAAATCTGAACACACAGTCCAAATTTAATTGTGAACACGCAGCCCACATTTGTTGAAAGTTGAACACGCAGCCCAAACTTTAAATTTCTAAACACGCAGCTCATATTTGAATTGTGAACACGCAGCTCAAACTTTGAATTTTTGAAATCTGAACACACAGCCCAAATTTAATTGTGAACACACAGCCCACATTTCTTGAAGGTTGAACACGCAGCCCACATTTCTTGAAAGTTGAACACGCCGCCTAAACTTTGAATTTCTGAAATCTGAACACACAGCCCAAATTTAATTGTGAACATGAAGCCCACATTTGTTGAAGGTTGAACACGCATCCCAAACTTAATTGTGAACACGCAGCCCATATTTGTTTAATGTTGAACACACAGCCCAAACTTTGAATTTCTGAAATCTGAACACACAGCCCATATTTAATTGTGAACACGCAGCCCACATTTGTTAAAAGTAGAACACGCAACCCAATGCTTTTGAAATCTGAACACACAGCCCAAGTACTTGATGTTGAACACACGGTTCAAACTTTGACCTGAACACACAACCCACTGATCTTGAAATCTGAACACACAGCCCAAATACTTGATGTTGAACACACGGCTCAAACTTTGAGGTGAACACACAGCCCACTGATCATGAAATTTGAACACACAGCTTAAACACTTCTATTTCGAACACACAGCTCGAACTTTGAGATGAACACACAGCCACTGATTTTGAAATCTGAACACACAGCCCAAATACTTGATGTTGAACATAGGCTCAAACTTTGAGGTGAACACACAGCCCACTGATCTTGAAATCTGAACACACAACCCAAATACGTCTATTCTGAACACACAGCTCGAACTTTGAGATGAACACACGGCCCACTGACTTTGAAATCTGAACACACAGCCCAAATACTTGATGTTGAACACACGGTTCAAACTTTGAGGTGAACACACAGCCCACTGATCTTGAAATCTGAACACACAGCCCAAATACTTGATGTTGAACACATGGCTCAAACTTTGATTGTACGCAACTCACAGCATTGGATCTGATTTGCTTTGCACACAGTTTATACATGTCATTTGCACGCACCTTATTCATTTCATTCTAAAACTGAATACATGTGTTCGTTATGAATACAGGTGTCTTCTCGTATCACACGAGGGTATGGCTCCATTGTCGCGAGGGAGTGCTACGTAGAGCTTCCAGAGGCTGTCCGCGAGTGGGTTGACTAGGCGGGGATTGGACCTTCTATACAGGGATATCCCGCTATCCTGCCAGTAGGACGTTGATGGGTGCGCTTGTAGAGAGATGGTGGGACACCACCAACTCCTTCCATTTCTCTGCTACCGGGGACATGACTATGACCCCGTTTGATTTTGCGATTCTGACGGGCCTCGACATGGGAGACTGGCCGATCCCATATGATGAGGATATGAGTGAGTGGGAGGCCGCCTGGATTTATCTACCAGGAGCTCGCCCGTCGGTCGACAGATCCTCAGGCCGAGTCCGGTATACCAAGTTTTCCACACAGTTCAGGGTGAGGGTGCCCAAGACTCCCGTAGAGGTAGCACAGTATACCCGGGGGTTTTTGATGTTCCTCTTCGGGACCACTCTGTTCGCCGATAGGGGGAACACCGTTGGGCTATATCTACTGAGTGCACTGGTAGACCTCTCGCAGGTCAGTCAGTATGACTGGGGTGGCGCCAGCTTGGCTACCCTCTATTGCTATATGAGCGCGACCTCCCACGGACGGGGGAACATAGTTGGCGGCTACTGGAGAGCCTGGGAGGTACCTTCTGCCCTATTTGATTTACATTTCTTCTTTTCATTATCTGTACATTGCACGCACGGCGCACTTTACATTCTGTACTCGCATTTTGCACTCAACATTCCGTATTCGGATTCTGCACTCAACATTCTGTATTCTGATGGCTTTTTCCCTGTTTTCCACAATTATGGGTTTTTGCGTACTTCCCGACGCTAGCCCTAGAGCTCGAGGTGGAGGCGCCCCTCATGACCCCCTACTCGCTCGTGTTTGAGGGCCAGTACCGGCCGAGACGTCGGGAACACCAAGTTTCAATCCTCAATATGCTTACATGCCTAAAACTAGTACTACCACCCATGATTCTGTGACCAATAATAGGCCTAACCCACAATACACTTCATCAAATCAAGCACCTGTCGCCAATGGTCCTAAGCCACAGTACTCTCAACCAAATGATGCTCTGCACAATTCTAGTGCTCAAACAGGTCTTGCTAACGAGGGGAAGTCACGAGCTGATCCACCAAGTTAAACACAACCACGAAATGTAAAGCATTTCAGCCACCATCATGCCTTGCATTTATCGAAAGTTCAAGAGGAAGATTACATTCACTGCTCTGTTTGTGATCAGTGCCTTTCTGGATCGACTTACAGTTGCACCAAGCAAAGGTGCAACTTTGACATTCACAAGTCCGGCTTCGAATTACCACAAAAGATTCACCACAAATCACATCCCAAGCACGCTCTCACGCTTCTCTCATCCCCGTCTTACAAAGAATACAATGAATTCACCCGCAATGCCTGTCGTGAAATTGGCACTGGTTTTACCTACCACTATAAAGACTGCAAGTTTGATCTCCATGTCAAGTGTGCTACATTGCTCGAAACTGCGAAACGCAAAGATCATGAGCACCCGCTGAGTCTCTTGTATTCATCTCCATACAAGAAATCTGAAGAGGATAGTTCCAAGGACTTGATCTTCTACTGCGATGTATGCCAAATCTCAGTCGATGACAGCTGTTGGGTATACTATTGTCAAGACTGTGATTATGGTACTGACTTGCATTGTGTGACTGCTGAGAAAAGACCAGAAGAAGAAGAAACAAAGGAATATTCAGCAGAAGAAGCAGTTGCCAAGGCTCAGCAACATATGCAATTGCTTCAAATTCAAATGGAAATGAGCAAACAAAATGCAGAGTTTATAAGTGGAATCGCACAAAGTTTGTCCAACTTAGTTTAAATTTTCTGCAATTTTTTTGTTGTGTTTGGGTTGGAAAAGCATGTTCTTGTTGGTCTGTTCTGGCTATCTGGGTTGATTTTGGTGTCTTTCTTGCTTTGCCTTCCTATCTGATTATTGTTTGCAATATTTGTGGTTGGTGTTCGAATTATACTCTGCCAAGTTTAATCATTCAAATAGAGTTTGAGCTTAGTTTGTTCATTTTGTTTGAGGTTTTGTTTTTCAAACAAATCAGCTTAGGCTGCAAGTTCCAACGTTGAGAGAGAATATCTCAAATGTATATTATTGATCTTTGAGTTGCAAAATGTGGTGAGAGGCATAAGATTGGCTTTTGGGTTTTCAAGTTCACAAAAAGGGTTCATAGTTTTAATCTTAGCTTTGGAAACTTCATGGGGAATCCACTTCCAATTAGTTCAATTAAGTGGATCAACATAACAGTAAGTTTATGATTTAGGACAGGAACTATTAAAAATCTGAGGGCTTAGATCGACGTAGGTCAAGTTTGGGGTGGGGGTAAGGCTAGTTCAAAAAAAAAAAAAAAAGTTTGGGGGTAAGGATAACATCGTCATTTTAGCAATCGAGCTCAGAATAATTTTAAATTTGGTAGTGATCCGAAACAACCCAACAAATAAAATTCATTGTTGTGCTTTGACCAATCATAATTCTCTCAATTATATAGTTGTAATAAAAGTCGATATTATCTTATACTATTTGATATAAGGTATTCACGTACTACAACATTTTCTTAGTTTAGTGACATTTGAAAGTGCCATAAAACTATTCTTCTAATGACATTTTTTGGTCTTGTGGCATTTTGAGCAAGTGCCACTTTTATCGGTGCCACGGTAGATACTTGCAAGTGTCATTGCACCATCATGGCTAAAAATTTTAAATGACATTTTAATGTCATGGTAGGTATTATTTGTGGCACTATCAAGCGCCATTAAAAAAAAGAGTTAGTGACACTTGTAAGTGTCATTACACCATCAAGACTAAAACCTTTCAGTGACACTTTAATGTCATGGTAGGCACTATTCGTGACACTGTCAAGTGCCATTCATGACAATAATTCGTTGTAGAACAATTTGATCCGCTCTTGCGGTGACTCGAACTGCCAACCTTCCGCACCATAAACCTTATACACCACACTCTTCCCACTACACCTCTATACCACCACATGAATATATATGCAACATATATTATTTATATAGTACATACATCCATATTAATATAAAAGTATATGTATAAACATAATTATTTTATTGAACATAATTTATGTAAAATAAACTATTTACTACCAAAATAAAAAAAAGGACCACTTTTGGCGACTAAAAATATTTTTTAGTCGCCAATTCTATACTTTTGGCTACTAATTATTTTTTAGTTGCTAAAAAACTTAACTTTTGTCGACCAAAATCGGATTTGCTCGCCGAAGATTCATTTTTAGCTACCAAAATTTTGGTCACCAAAAAATTTTATTCTCGCCTTAGGATTTTAGTTCTCTCGCGCTAAAAATGACCACTTTTGGCGACTAAACTTATTTTTTAGTCGCCAATTGTGGACTTTTGGCTACTAAAATTTTTTTTGGCACCAAAAAGCTTTACTTTTGGCTACTAAAATTTTTTTAGTCGGTAAAACCCATATAATCAGCGACCAAACTTATTTTTAGTCGCCAATTGTAGACTTTTGGCTACTAAATTTTTTTAGTCGCCAAAAAGCTTTACTTTGGGCTACTAAAACTTTTTTAGTCACTAAAACCCATATAATCAGCCACCAAACTTAGTTTTAGTCGCCAATTGTAGACTTTTGGCTACTAAAATTGTTTAATCGCCAAAAAGCTTTACTTTTGGCAACTAATGCTGTTTTGGTTGCTGAAAGCTATACTTTCAGCGACCAAATTTTTTTAGTCAAGAAATTTAGTCGCCGAATATGCTTTTTCCTGTAGTGTATATTGAGTTTAATTCATTTATTTTTAATCATTTACTGCATTTTAAAAATTTTAAAAATATATTGGCATTTTTTGTTTTTTCAAAAATGTCATTATAAGCTTGGAAAGTTTTTGGCTTAGTGACATTTCTCAAAATGCTATAAAATATTTGTTTATGACACTTTTCACCTAAGTGCCATAAAAAGTAATTTGCACATACCTAGTGTCCTGACATTTTTTAAAAAATGCCATTGCAACTAAAGTTTAGTGGCATCTGTTGGTAAATGTCATGAACATAATTTTTTATGTCATTATTTTATAAAATGTCATAAAATTGATGTGGCATTTCTTTATTGAAATGCCACTAGAGCCTTATATGTTTTGTGGTTCTATGGCATTTTTCTAAAACATTTAATGCCAATTTTTATTTTTGTGGCATTTTCTAAAAACATGCTACTAGTGTAGTGTCACTAAAGCGTAAATTTGTTGTAGTGATATTTTCGTTATAGTGAAGTGACACTTTTTTTAATTGAAATGCCACTAGAGCCTTGTATGTTTGTGACTCTATGACATTTTTCTAAAAAATGCCACCAAATATTCTTTTTGTGACATTTTTTAAGAACATGCCACTAGTATGATGTCACTAAAATATGTTTTTGTTGTAGTGTTGTGACACTTGTTCATTAAAATGTTACTAGAGCCTTTTATATTTGTCGTTTTGTGGCATTTTTCAAAAACGTGCCACTAAATATCATTTTTGTGGCACTTTCTAAAAATATGCCACTAGTGTAGTGCCACTAAAGTATGTTTTTGTTGTAGCTTTGTGACACTTGTTCATTAAAATGTCACTAAAGCCTTTTATGTTTGTCGTTTTGTGGTATTTTTCAAAAACGTGCCACTAAATATCATTTTTTGTGACATTTTCTAAAAATATGCCACTTAATCACGGACCACCAGCTCAGTCCATGAGTTTATTTGTTAAACTTTTATTTTTTGACAGCCAAATATTAAAAATTACAAAATGATATTTTTCAAAAGTATGTTCTACCAATACAAATGGAGCTTTGGAATCCATTGAAATTTGTGTGTTAATATGATTGTTTGTAAAAATGTTGGTGTCGTGCCCCTGAAATTTTCCTCGCCCAAAGCAGTGCTGGATAAATAGCAATACTACGCATTATGAAATAAATATTATGAAAAGTTTCATGAAACTAATCCAAGGGTGATTGCATAATATATAATAAAGCACTACAAACACTAAATTAATCCAAAGGTGGAGAATTTTCATGAAGATTTTTCATGATATTTCTTTTTTGACACCTAGCATTATTGTAAATTGTTTTAGACATAAAAATTATCACCCAAAAAAAAAATTTATAATAATAATTTTTTTTAAGTTTACTGTTGGACCTAAGTATCACCAAATGTTTTAAAGCAATAGAGTACAATGTGATTTGAGAGAATATAGGGAATGTCAATGTGATTTTAGGTGGTGTTTGTTTTGAGGGATTGAGGGGTGGGATTGGACTACTAGTCCATTCGGACTAATAATCCATTGTTTGGTTCAAAATTTTTGCAACGGACTATTAGTCCCAAATCCATTGGACTATTGTGTCCCATGGGGGGGGTGGGACACAAATGGAGGGATAAGGGGGGATATGGGATTAGGTGACGAAATGACCATTTTGACTCTCTATTATTTAATTATGTATTATATTTAGTAAAATTCAATAAAATTTAAATGACTCAATTTAAAAATACAATAATTTTATTTAATTTTTATTGATGTTTTATTTACTTAATTTTTTAAAATAATTTTTTTATAGATATTTTATTGATGTTTTATTTTAAAATTTTGTTTATATTTTATTTAATTTCATTATTTAAATTTTAATAGATGTTTTATTTAATTTCATTATTTAATTTTTATTATTTTTTAAAATAAATTTATTTAAAATTTTAATTAAAAAAATAACATACATTTTTTTTATGTTTAATTTATTTAATTTTTTAAAAATAAATTTATGTAATTGTGTAAAAAATAAAATAAAATTAATTTTTATTTAATCTAGTTAAAATAATTAAAATATTAAAGATATGTTTAATATTGCTATTACTTAGTAAATAATTGAAAAGGATAAAATAGTCATTTGAACATTTATTATTCTCCATAATATCCCAAATAAACATAGAATTCATATAATATCCAACCAATTGCAAATAGTCATTTCCTGATATCTAATGACTAAACAAACATGTGATACAAATCTAGTCCAACCAAATAATCTGGGGACAATGTATCCCAGAACTAACAATCCGGTGAATTTCCATCACCCTCATCCAATCCGTCCATACAAACACACCATTAGAGAATAGAGGAAAAATCAGTGATTTTAGAATAATTGGGAGTGATTTACCAAATACAAAATCTGATTATCAAGTATATATACTAATAGTAGGGGTGGAATTAAAAAAAATAAAAATAAAAATAAAAATAAATAATAATAAAATTAATATTTTAATAGTAAGAATGCTTAATGAAATCTAAAATTTTGAGATTAAACTTTGTGCATGCACTACCTTTTTATATAAATTTTTATTTAAAAAAACAAAATCTACTATGTGACATAAAAAGAAGACTTAAATATCAAGTTGAGCATTCATTTAACAATAATATATGGAAGATAGATACATGCTGCCAGGTCTAAAGTCAAAAATTTATAAATCGCACAATGATAACAAGCCAAAAGTCTACCCATTGCCAGTATATTCAGAGAGACAATTGATCACAAGCAGTTCATTTCATTGGTGAAGGGGTTTGAATCTGACTATCTGAATTATAAAATTTCCATCCAAATTTTATACGCACCGCAATTTGTTGATTTTCCGGCTACTTTCTTGTTGGAATTTGAGTAATTTCCAAGCAACATATTTAAATCTTCAATCATGTGAAGATGAATAATACAAGATGGCTATCTTTTTCTAAACAAAAATATACAGTAATTGATTCTTTATTGAAACCTAGCCAAAGTCTATGAACAACAAAAAAGATTTCAAAAGTTACTGTATCAATGAG